AGGCTCTGAGCTGGCAGTCAGCACAGAGCCCGACGCGGGGCTCGAACCCACGAACCGCGAGATCATGACCTAAGCGAAAGTTGGACGCTTAACCGACTAAGCCACCCAGGCGCCCCCGAGGTTCACTCCTAAGAATCCCATGAGGTCAGTATCGGTCCAAGTTGGACAGGTGAGGAACCTGACGGCCATTCTTCCTCCCCACCCCCATCTCAACAGCATGGGTGGCTGAGGTGGCCCCTAAGGCAGCAAAAAGTCATTCTTGGTGGAAGACAGTGAAAGAAATCTTACTCTTTGTATGTATAAAAGCAAAATATATAACGGGCGCCTGGGTGGCTCAGTCAAATACCCGACTCTTGATTTTGGCTCAGGTCATGATCTCATGGTTCATGAGATTGAGCCCCTCGTCAGGCTCTGTGCTTTCAGCCCAGAGCTTACTTGGGATTCTCTCTCTCACTCTCTGCCTGTTTCCACTCTCTCTCTCAAAATAAACATTAAAAAAAAAAAAAAGCATAATATATAGGGGCGCCTGGGTGGCTCAGTCAGTTAAGCATCTGACTTCAGCTCAGGTCATGATCTTGTGGTTTGTGGGTTCAAGCCCCGCGTCGGGCTCGTGTGCTGACAGCTCAGAGCCTGAAGCCTGCTTCAGATTCTGTGTCTCCCTTTCTCTCTGCCCCTCCCTCTCTCATGCTCTGTCTCTCTCAAAAATAAACATTAAAAAAAAATTTTTTTACACATAATATATAAACAGGTATACTGCATATTCACGGTATTAAATTTTCACAGGTGTGGGCAATTAGGGGAAAAACGTCTTCAGCGGCTGGGAGCGGGGCGGGTGAGAGAAGGGCATGATGAAAAAAGGCCAGGAAGCACTATGACGGCAGAAGCACATGAGAACTCAAGGCACAAGGGGCCTGAGCTGCTGGCGAGGGTTAGCCTCTGCTCCTCCAGGACCATCGCCAGGCCCTCCAGGGGGCTCTGCCCAAATGCCAGAATGTGGGTGTCAGTAATTCTTTCTCAAGACAAGCCACCGTTGGTAGTCTTACTGGCCCAGGCAGCCCGAAGGCCAGCGCCAATGGGCCGGTCCCGCTAAGCACCCCAGAGAAGCTCCTGCAATAGCCCCTCCAACTTATACTCAGTGCGGTCGTAGTCACGCCGGGCCCCCCGCAACCTGGCACGGGCTGAGCCCTTCCGGAAGGAGCGGCAGCACCTGTGAGTGTGTCAGCCAGGGCCCCCGCCAGCCACAGCCAGGCTGCGGCCACAGGGAGAGCAGCAGGGTTACTTACTCAGGACCTTCTTCGTGAAGTGTGAGGGTTTGTACGTGGGCGCTGGGCCATGCTCTCCAGGGCTCCCTGTGCCAAAGCAGAAGGCATTCATTTATGCAGCTATTCCAAGCAACCCCAGGAGCCCGCTTTGCCACAGGCAGGCAGAGACAGGGTTTACAAAAGCAATTTCCGCTGACTTTCCCCATCCCATCAGTTACAAGAGCTAGAGACAAGGGGACAGGAAGACAAGCTTGCTGTGTCCCGCTTTTCTCTGGGTTAAAACGTAGCCGGGATCAAGTCTTTCCTCTGCCAGCACCCAGCTTCATGACCTCTGAACCCTCTCTGAGCTTCCATTTCTCCCTGTGTAGCTGGGGATGAGCACCTTGGATGCGTGTCCAACGCGTCACCAGCTTTACCCTGTACGGAGTGCACCACACCGGGTCCAGACGCCCCCTGCAGGGACACTCGGCTTGCCGAGCTGGAATTCAAGCCCACCCCCTGGGTTATACAGTAAGATTCACTATGTGCCAGGCTCTACGCTAAGCACTGGGGAGAGAAGGCTGGATAAAAAACAGACCGAGCCCTGTCCTCAGAGATCACAATCTAGTGGGGGAAGAATAAAATGACAGATGTGCAAAGGTTCCCAAGGGATAAGGATTCTGGTACCCAGTATGAACAGTGAAGAGTGGTGATGGGGAGGTCTGCTGAGAAATATAATGTTTCAACTGCTCTCTGAAGGGTTACTGGTGAAGATGGTGGAGTCTGAGTCTTATAAGCAATGAGAAGAGCATGTAAAAAGGCCCTGTGGCAGGAAGCTTAGAATATGTAAGCAACTGAATGCAGAGAGATGTATGGGAGGAGGGAGCACTTCAGGGCTGGAGAAACAGACAGGACCTGACTAGGCAGGAGCTTGTAAGGCCAGAGTCAAGAGCGTGGCCTGAAATGTAAAATCAATGGCTATTCTCTAAACAGGGTGAGAGGGAGAAGGTCCCAGGAAATCAGATCTGCATCTTGAAAAGCTCTCTCTGGCTGCAGCAGGAATGGACGCAGGACTATTTAGAAAGCTGCCACCGATGATAGCCAGCAGGGGAACCAATGGACTGAGTCAGGAAATATTTAAGAAATATAATCTGGTGATGGATTGGACACAGTGGCCTGGGGGAATGGAAGGGAGTGTCAGGGAGGAATTCCAGGTTTCTCTGACCCTAGAACTAGCCATTCCTCCACCAAACACACTGATAACCCAGAGTCCATTTAAAGCCATCTGAGGGGCATCTGGGTGGCTCAGTTAAGCGTCCGACTGTTGATTTAGGCTCAGGTCATGATCTCATGGTTTACGAGTTCGAGACCCACATTGGGCTCTGAGCTGACAGTGCAGAATCTGCTTCAGATTCTCTGTCTCTCTGTTCCTCCCCAACTTGTCCTCTCTGTCTCTCTCAAAATAAATAAACAAACTTAAAAACAAAAACAAACAAAAAATGCCATCCGAGCCAGCCTCAAGATCACATGCAAAGAACCAGCTAACATTAAGGCCTCCAGAAGCATTTCAGGAAGGATGGCTGCAATCTCGGGATGTTTCCCCACGACCTCGTTTCAGGATCCCGAGACTGAAGCCCCAGGGCTCTGGGTCAGGACCCTCTCCCCGATTCCAAGAGGCTGATTCCATTTCAGGGGTCCCAGGAGGGGAGCGTGGGGGCTGCCAACGGGTACCTGAGCCAGTGGGTTCCTCGGCCTTCTTGTCCGGGGGCTGCCTGATATACCGCTTCAACTCGTTTTTGAGGTCGAAGGTGGCCTGGCAGACACTCTTTATCAGCTCCTGATTCAGCTCCACCTTGGGGACGTACACCGGCTTTGTGGACACTCCCTGCAGCTTTACCGCTTTCTGAAACAAGCCAGGGCAACAGATCAGGCAGCTCCCGGGAAGCCAGGGCCTCAGCTCAGCCCTCATAAACTCCAGGAGGGGCGCCCTTGTGCCCAGGGGGCTCAGTCCAGTCAGCTGCAGGCCAGAGGATGCTGGGGCTAACGTGCCACTTTAGGTCACAGGGCTGTGGATCTGGGCCCTCAGAGGCCACTCACCTACCAAGGGGGAAACTGAAGTCAAGAAATAACAAATGTGCGGGCGCCTGGGTGGCTCAGTCAGTTAAGCATCCAACTCTAGCTGGTTTCAGGGCATGATCTCACAGTTCATGAGTTCAAGCCCCGCATCGAGCTCTCCGCTGTCAGCACGGAGCCTGCTTCGAATCCTCTGTCCCCCTCTCTCTCTCTGCCCCCCACCACTGCCTGCATGCTCTGTCTCTCTGAAATAAATACATAAACTTAAAAAAAAAAAGAAAGAACATGGGAGGAAAGGAGGAAGAGAGAGAGAGGAAGAAAGGAATGGAGGGCGAGATTGAAAGAGAGAAAGAGAAAAAGAAAGAAAAAATGTCCCGCTAGGAACACTGCCAGTTGGTGGCAGGGACAACGTTGCGACATAAACCTCCTGACCCCGTGGATGATGCTCTTCCACTCCCCCAGCTGTGGCTGCAAAAGTTCAGGAGACTCAGGACCATCCCGAGCCTCAAAGACCAGCTCTGAACACGCGTGGACTGGACGGGGCTGCCACGGTGGCAAAGGGTTCAGCCTGGGCACATCCAGGACAAAGGGAGGATGTTACAGAAAGCCCCAAACCTGAGCTAAAATCAGGTCATACAACAGCAAGAGGCCCCCAGGTAGGGACTGAGAACCCTTCTCCGAGAGCGCTAGGCAGCTACTCCAGTACACAGGAAGGGCCACGGAGATGAAACTCGATGGCGCCGAGCCGAGGCCTGGGAAGAAGTCTGTGCAGCGGGAAGAGAAGGTTCCCAGTCCTTCCTCTACTCTCCCCAGGACCTGAACAAGGAACCCGGGCCTCTGAGGGGTCATCGCCCCGTCGACGGGGCTCACCGGAGGGGGCAGCGTGAAGGGGTAGGCCGGCCCAAAGGAGGGGACAGCAGACACATCAACAGGCACATCTAAAGCAACGCCACCAAGTGCTACAGCGGAGGCAGAGCGACCCCCTCGATCGCCAGGCATGGCTGAAGAGCAGGATTCGAGGAAGACGGAGGGCAGGGGGCGGAATCTGGAGCGGCCCAGGGACAAGGACAGCCGTAGCAGGCCCATCTGATGCCCGGGGTGCCCGGGTAACGGCGAGGTCACAGCACGGGGCAAGAGAGGACATTGCGGCCAAACGCAGGGGAGCTAAGGGAGATGAGGTCAGATGGGGCAGGGGGTCTGCGCTTTAGAAAGACACTTCCAGGGTCCATAGGGAGGAGCGATGGAGGGAAGGGTGTAGGCAACATTCTAACATGGCCCCCAAGGTGCCCACCTGGTCCACGGGTGCACACCCTACACAATCCCCTCCCTGTGAGTATGGGCAGGACAGTGAGTATGGTAGGATTAGGTTACCTTCGATGGAAAAACTGAAGGAATATTGCAGATGTAACGAAGATCCCAAGTCTGTTGGTTTTGGGTTCATCAGTGAGGTGAGTATCCTAGGTGGGCCTGAGTTAACCAAGTAGGGCCCATTAAAAGGGAGCAGGCTTGTAAGAAAAGAATGAAATCTTGCCATTTGCAATACCATGGATGAAGCTAGAGAGTATTGCGAAACTAAGCCAGTCAGAGAAAGACAGATACCATATGACTTCACTCATTTGTGGAAATTTAAAAAAACAAAATAGGGGCGCCTGGGTGGCTTAGTCGGTTAAGCGTCCGACTTTCGCTTAGGTCATGATCTCACGGTTCGTGGGTTCGAGCCCCGCGTCGGGCTCTGTGCTGACTGCCAGCTCAGAGCCTGGAGCCTGTTTCAGTCTGTGACTCCCTCTCTCTCTGACCCTCCCCTGCTCATGCTCTCTCTCTCTCTAGAAATAAATAAAAAAAAAAAAACCTTAAAAAAAAAAATTTAAAAAAATAAATAAATAAAAAAATAAATAAAAAAACAAAATAAACGAGCAAAGGGAGAGAGAGAGAAACAAAGCCAGCAAACAGACTCTTAACTGTAGAGAACAAACTGATGGTTATCAGAGGCGGCGGTGGTGGGGGGATGGGTGAAATAGGTGATGAGTATTAAGAATACACTCATCGTGGGGCACCTGGGTGGCTCAGTCAGTAGAGCATCTGACTCTTGATTTCCACTCAGGTTGTGATCCCAAAGTCATGGGATCAGCCTCCATGACTGAGCATGGAAACCTGCTTAGAATTCTCTCTCTCTCTCTCCCTCCCTGTGCCCCTCTCCCCTGCTTGAACTCTCTCTAAAATAAAAATATAAATAACTTTAAAAAGGGTACACTCATCATGATGAGCACTGAGCGATGTACAGAATTGTTGAATCACTTAAAAAAAAAAGAGTTAAATCACTATATTGTACATCTAAAACTAATATATACCATATGTGTTATACTGGGGGGAAAAAGCAGGGCTACCTGGGTGGCTCAGTCAGTTAAGCATCCAACTCTTGATTTTGGCTCAGGTCACGATCTCAGTTGGCAAAATGGAGCTCCGCGTCAGGCTCTGCACTGACAGCACACAGAGCTAGGGACCCTCTCTCTGCCCTCCCCCGCTCTCTCTCTCAAACTAAATAAGTAAACTTAAAAAAAAAAAAAAAAAAGAAAGACTATTCTTGCTAAAAAAAGAAAAAAAGAAAAGATCAATAATCTAAGCAAGAAAAAAAGGGACGAGACTTTCCCGGAGGGAGAAATTCTCTGCTGGCTTTGAAGAGGTAGCTGCCAAGTCGAGAGGGGGCCACGTGGCAAGGAACGGCAGCAGCCTGTGGGAACATAAGGCAGACCTCAGCCACCAGCCGGCAAGACAGCGGGGACCTCAGACCTGCACCACGGGAACTGAACTCTGCCAAGGAACATGGGTGCTTGGAGACCCCCTAAGCTCAGCAGCCTAGCCGACACTCAAGGGCAACCCCCTAAGCCACATCTCAGCTCCTGAGCCACAGAAAGTGTGAGGTAACAAGCACATGCCCTTCTGAGCCACTAAGTGTCTGCTAAGTTGTCGCACCGCATAGGAAATGGATACAGCGTGTGTCTCAGGGATGTTTCCAACGACACTTTACAGCCCCATGTCCTTGAGGGCCCCCCGCACCTCCAAACAACATCATAATGGCAGGCAGAAGGTGTGTTCAACAATGTCTCCCTCAAGACCTACCTCCAGAAACTCGAACTCGTCCCCCTTGGTCAGGGCAAGTTCAACCTCCTCCTTCAGCGTCTGGATCTCACTCTTCTTCTTGAGGAGGATCTGGTAAATGTGGTCGAACTTGGTACTGACCCTCTTCTCCTCTTCCTTTATCTTTTGGGTGGAGGTGGCCTCAGCGGCATCAAGGAGCACCTTGATTTCCATGAATTCTTGTCTGAGCTGCTCTGTCTTCCTGTGTGCGACCTCCTACCGGGGATAAGACACGGGGACATCTGTCAGGCAAGCCAAAAGGCTAAGCCTGTGGTACCAAGTGCTGCTGAGGTGTGCAGCGCCAGGTACTCTTATGTGTCCTCTGTGGGGGTACAGATGGGCACAACTGCTCTGGATGGGAACTGGGCAATATCTGGTGAACCTGAGCTGCTCATACCCAAATCAAGGAATGTGCTCAGCTACCTGCCCCAGAGACAGACCCAAGAATGCTCATAAGCAGCACTGTCTGAATTAGCAAAACCCCGGAAACAATCCAATGTCTATCAATAAGGGACTCAGGGGGCACCTGGGTGGCTCAGTCGGATGAGCGCCTGACTCTTGATGTCGGCTCAAGACCCGATCTCACGGTTTGTGGGACTGGGCCCCGCATCAGGCTCTGCACTAAGTGTGCAGCCGGCTTAAGATTCTCTCTCCCTCTCCCTCTGGCCCTCTCCCTGAGTCGTGCTCTCTCTCTTTCTAAAATAAGTTTAAAAATTAAAAAAGAATTAAAAATAAATAAATAAGAGACTAGATACAAATATGCAAATTATTCACAGGATAGAATATTAAACAGTAATGAAAATTAATGAGCTGGGGCAACACATGGACAAATTTTCGTGAGGGAAAAACAACCTGTAGAAGACGACATACAGCATGACGTTCTTCATATAAGCTTAGAAACAAACAGAATGGCTTCCCTTCAGGGGCACCTGGGTGGCTCCGTCAGTTAAGTGTCTGAATTTGGCTCAGGTCATGACCTCGCAGTTCATGGGTCTGAGTCCCACACTGGGCTCTGTCCTGACAGTTTGGAGCCTGGACCCTGCTTCGGATTCTGTGTCTCCCTCTCTCTCTGCCCTTCCCCCACTCGTGCTCTGTCTCTCAAAAATAAACATTAAAAAAAATTTTTTTAAAAGAACAGCTTCCCTTCAGTAAGAGAACCCCCCTGGAGTTTACAAGGGCGCATGGCTGCCCTGTCACAGACTACATTTCCCAGGATTCCCTGCAGCTAGACTTGGCCATGTGACTAAGCTATTCCCAGTGCAGTGTGAGCAGAAGTGGTATGTGTAATACTCTTCTTCCCTGTCCCTTTTACTACAAGCTAACAAACAAAATGAGGAAAACACCCCATGCAGTAGCAGGGTAATAAGAAAAGACTCTCGGGGTGCCTGGCTGGCTGGCTCAGTTGGAAGAGCATGCAACTCCTGATCTCCAGATCAGGAGTTCAAGGCCCTCATTGGGTATGGAGATTACTTAAAAACTTAAAAAAAAAAAAAAAAAAAAAAAGGATGAATATATATATTTACCACTCCTCACAAAAAAAAAATCCCTAATTCTACCACTCTAATACCAATACTATTATTCTCTTACCATACTTGCTTCCAGTCTTTTCTCCCATACTCCCATAATGGGTTGAACGGTGGCCCCCAAGAGATCTGTCTAGAACCTTCAAAGCTGACGTTACTTAGCAAAAGTCTCTGCAGATGTAATTAAGGTAGGAATCTTGAGATGAGATTGTCCTGGATTACCCAGCTGGGCCCTAAATCCAATGACAAGTGTCCCTCATAGAAACAGAAGAAAAGACACAGACAGGGAGGAGGAGGCCATATGAAGACAAGAGACAGGGGGTTAGGTGGCACAGCCGCAAGCCTAGGAGCGCCTGAGCCACCAGAAGCCGGAAGCGGCAAGGAAGGATTCTTCCCTAGAACGAGACAGTGTGGCCCTGTCTTTGGTTTTAGGATTCTGGCCTCCTGAACTATGTGAGAACACGGTTCTCCCTGTGAGCGGAGTTTGCGGGAATTTGTTAGGACAGCCCCAGGACTAATACACTTTCTTCTTATAAAAAGATATAACTTGGGGCGCCTGGGTGGCTTAGTCGGTTAAGCGTCCGACTTTCGCTTAGGTCATGATCTCGCAGTTCGTGGGTTCGGTCCCCGCGTCGGGCTCTGTGCTGACTGCCAGCTCAGAGCCTGGAGCCTGTTTCAATCTGTGACTCCCTCTCTCTCTGACCTTCCCCTGTTCACGCTGTCTCTCTCTCTCTCTCCTAGAAGTGAATAAAACATTAAAAAAAAAAAAAAAAAAAGATATAACTCTAGTGCGTATACAGTTGTGCTTCCTGTTTGGTTTTTTTTTCCCATTTAAATCGTAAACACTTAGGGCTTCCAACTCCTGATTTCCGTTCAGGTCATGATCTCGCGGTCGTGGGATCGAGGCCCGAAGCACAGAGCCTGCCTGGGATTCTCTCTCTCTCCCTCTCTCTCTGCCTTTCCCCAGCTCATGCCTGTATGCTCTAAGTAAACATTCAAAAAAAAAAAAAAAAACCCAAAAAGGAAATAAATCATAATCACTTTAATCACTTTTTATATAAATGATTTTTTTCTTCATGATTTTTTTTAACGTTTATTCATTTTTGAGAGACAGAGTGCAAGCAGAGCAGGGGTCAAGAAAGAGACAGAATTTGAAGCAGGCTCCAGGATCTGAGCTGTCAGCACAGAGCCTAATGGGGCTTGGGGCTTGAACTCACGAACGGGGAGATCATGACCTGAGCAGAAGTCGGACGCTTAACCGACTGAATCACCCAGGTGCCCCCTTCGTGATTTTTTTTAAGCCACCAACACGGGGCTCAAACTCACAACCGCGAGATCAAGAGACCCATGCTCTACTGACTGAGCCAGCCAGGCGCCCCTATATTACTACTTGTTAACGCTCATTTTTAGTGACTGACCCTGTCCTCCCCACACCAAGGTCAGGGCTTGTGGACAGTATTCAGTTTGGGTCTCCGTCTAACTCCAACACCGTGTGTGACGCCACGTGTGAAGCCTTGAGGGGATCAGAGCTGAGCCAGTCCTGCCAGGAGGCGGAGGGAAGGCCCTGGGCTGAGACTGGCAGTGCGGAGCCCTGTCACTCACCCTTATGTCCTGCTGCTTGCCTCTCACGTCCTCCAGCGCCCTGGATGCACCGTTGATCTGACCGTACATGACGGTCAGTTTATGCTTCAGCTTGGTCTGCGGAGAAAACGAGCAGGTGAGAAATCACCTCAGCCCTCCCCCCCACACCAGGACAGCCGGACGCTCTGCCGGACGCTCTCCCAGCGCGTTTCTGCTGCCCCAGGTCTTGCCTGCCTGTAGCTGCTTGTAGCATTCTCTTACTTATTGCCTCCCTTCCAACTTTTAAAGGGACAGACAATACAAGAAAGAAGTTAGGAGCATAGGACTCAGACCAATCCATTCCCAGCTGTCCAAGAGTCTCTCACCTACGTCCTTGACCATGAAATAGATACAAATGTTCCCACCCCAGAAGGTGAGTGGGAGGATTAACTGAAACGTTGTAAGAACTCTGCATGGTGCCTGGATCTTAGTAAAGCCAAACTAAAGGTCAGCTTGCATTGCCAAGAGCTACGTCATTAGCACACCCATTTTACAGACAATGAAACTGAGGCAAGAGGCCCAGCAAGGGGGCCAAGTTCACACAACAGCCAGAACAGCTGGGGCTGGGCCAGTTGTTTCAGTCCTTCCAGCAAGCCCTCCCACTGCAAACCACCAGGAAAGCGGACAAATGACTGGGAAGAAAAATCTGCTGAGTGACAAGGGAGCGCTAACTAAGCCAGGAAGGACCACAGAGCCAAGGTCTGGGAGAAGAAAACCCAGAGAGAAAAGCCTGGTTTCTGCGGCTGTCGTCTCACAGCCATCTATCTGCCAATTCCGGGAGACAGCTGGAGGAGCCACGGTCAACCTCAGGGAAGCAAGTGGACAAGAGTCAGAGTCCAAGGCTCCTTTGGTAAGCCCCACAGGCGGGGACCTCCACAGGCTACACCCTCAGGATGAACAAGCGGGAGGCCAACCCACCATCAGGTCAACCCCTGAAACTGAATTAAGGTGACTCAGAATTGCTAAGTCCCTAGCCACCTCCAGGAACCAAGGTCAAATATGCACAAAGGGAAATAGTATCATCCCAGGCCTCTTAGTATTTTTATCTATGTTCAGAATCGATATTGGGAGTGTCCCGCCGCCCTGCTCGGTGAAACGTTGCAGCGCAGAAATGGGGAGGAAAACCATCCCCATCATAATAGCAGCTCGTGTTTCTTACATACTCACTGCAAGCCAGGCACAGTTCTAGTGCTTTACAGGTATTAACTTAAAGCTAAGAACAACACTGTAAAGCGGGAGCTGCCCGCCCTCTGTAAATAAGGACACTGAAGCGGAGTAATGAAGTGGCTCGCCCCGGGTCACATCTCTGTTAACTGGTGTCCCAAGAGCCTGGTGTTACAAAGCACTGAGTTCGCCAGAAACGTCTAGGAAAAAAATATTTACTTCCCCTAACGAGCTGACTCAACATCCTCCAGCCCTCCCGTTCCACTTTCCTGCCCTCTCCCACACCACTGGAGATATTCAGCTCTGAACCTGACCTTGAATCTGGACTGGAACAACACAGTGACAAGTTACATATTGAGGGCTGGAACCGGAGGCCAAGGCCACACTAACTCGACCCCGAAAGCCCAAGTTACTGGTGATGTTTCAAATTCAACCTCTGTGACAGTGTCCTTTGACCTGGCCTCTCGCAGTGGCCAAGATCAAGTGTGGGCCAAAGGCAGAAGGCAGGCCAAGGCAGATCCAGCCTCACAGGTATCAGAGCAACAAGAGAGCTCAGAACACCTGGGGGCTGCCGACAGCCCAACACTGTTCCACCTCCAACAGCCACTCAGTGCACCGCAGACCTCTGTGTTCGGGAAACCTTTATCCGTCAGTAATCAAACGCATATGACAGTCCCCTGATGGCAGTGAGGGGCCTAGTGAGAGGTGCAACAATCCCCTCATCAAGGGCAGAAACCTTTTTGAAGTTCTGAGGACCTGTTCCCAGATCGGGGACTTGGGTCCGCCGTGAGGACGCAGGAGGCAGCAGAGTCCCGAGTCCGCCCCACGCCAGTGGTCAGGACGGGCCGGCTTCCCACGGCTGGGGCACTGCCCAGATGGGGCTGACTCTGTCTCAGCAGTGAGCAGTGGCAGGGCCAGAAGGGGAGGCTGGTAGAAGGCCAGGCAAGGCGGGTTCCAGGGATTACCCAGGTACACTGGGTGCAGGCTCCGGCTCCGGGCCCCAGAGGCTGAGACAGAGAGAGAGCTGTAGCTCCAGGCCAGGCTGAGAGGATCCCTCCTGCCCCCACTGCCTTCTGCTCCACAGATAAGAAGTTCTAGAAGAGCCTTCTGGCAGAAGCCAGCTGCCCCAGTCCTCAGGGACAGGCCCAAGCAGCCCAAGGCCAAGAAGATCTGGGCAGCCTGACACCACCCCCCGCTCTCTTCCCAGAAAGCACACCGGCAGGGCTTAGGCAGCACTCACCCCGCCAGGAAGAAGGGTCAGAATTCAAGTTCAGGTCTCAACACCCAGCCGAGGTCGGAGCCTGCATCGGACAGCCACTTGCCTGACACCGGGTCCTGCCCACAAAGCACTTCCCACACCGCTCATCTCCCTGGGGCCTCCTGACCACCCCTGCAGGTCCGGAAGGGATGCTCTTAACCCCATCTTACAGATGAGGAAGCTGGGGCTCAGAGAACTGCAGTGACTTGCCGTAAACCACAACTGATGTGGGGCAGGGCAGGGCTCACAGCTCAAAAGGCTGGGCAGGTTCTTTAGTGTCGCCGGTGGAGACCCAGGCGCCGAGGCCTGACATAGTTGTACCTCAGAGGTCAACTCTCAGGCCGTGCCTTGAGGTCCGGCCTCCGAGACGCAGAGAGGAAGGTCCTGAGGGACGCAGCTCAGACCGAGAAGCTGACTGGGCCCGGGAAGAGCTATGGCTTCACAGCTATGGCCGCAGCCTGGTCCTGGCGCCACGGCAAACCTCCAAGGTCTCCTATCTCCTTTGAAAACGCGACAGTCCTTGACTGTGAAAATGAAAGGCAATCAGGCCATGCCTTGGAGCGCAGGCTGATATAAAAAGGGTGGTTCGATTACACCTTTTCAGCCTCTGCCTTGAGTCTACAAGGCTAAGTTCTGATTTCCTCCAAACCACTAAAATCAACACAGGCCTGGAAGGCCCCCTAGGAAACCGCCTGGTCCCGCCTCTTCACTTTATTGATAAAGACTCAGGCCTGAGGGGCCAAATTGCTAAGCTCAGAGTCGCACGGCCAGGGCGGATGGTGCAAGAGTCTGGCTGTCCCTCTGGCTAGTGTCCAGAGATATTTGGGACTCTGGCCACCACCCTGCTCAGAGCAATCCTCTCTAGTCACTCTCTGGCTCACCAAAAGTTTCTGCTCACATGACCTCAAGGCTGCAAGAATGTCCCATGCTCCCTGCACTCAGATACAAGGCTGGTCATGGGGAGAAAAGGCAAACTGTCGAGTCAAACCCGTTGGGGTCCCAATGCCTGCCCAGCAGCTTACTGGCTTAGCTCAGACTTTAACTTCTCTGGACCTCCATGTCCTCAACTGTAAAATGGAACTAATTACATCCACCTCCTGAGTGCTGCCAGGATTTAAATGAAGGTACAGATGAAACCTCCAGGGTTCATATTTGACGTTGGAAACCCTCTACTAAACATCATCGGACAACTACTAGGCTTAAGGCCAGCAATCGCCTGTCTTCTGAGGTCCCCTCTGTAGGATGGGGGGGGGGGAAGAGGGTGGACCAAGGATGACAGAGGAGGGCTGTGTGTTCTCCCCACCCCTTTCTATTAGACACTGGGGACGCCCCTGCCCCTGTTCTGGGGGCCCAGCAAGGCCCATTCCCCTACCCCGGGGGATCCGCGGTGGGCCACGATCCCCTCCCCCACCCCTTACCTCCAGGTCTGCGCTGGCCTGGCTCAGGGTCGCAGGCGAGCAGGCCTTGTGCTCCACCAGGCAGACGTGGCAGATGCACTCATCATGCTGGGGGCAGAAGAAGTCCCGCAGCCGGTTGTGCTGGGGACACTTGCGGCGCATCAGGTCCTTGACGGGCGGCTGCAGCTGGTGGTCCTGGAAGGCAGGGCTGTCGAGGTGCGGCTGCAGGTGCTCCTGGCAGAAGGAGGCCATGCACACCAGGCACGTCTTGACGGCGGGCGCCTTCAGGCAGTGGTCGCAGGCCACCCGGCAGGCCGGGCTGGGCTCGGCGGGGCGGGCGGGCGGCGTCCAGCCGTCGGGCGGCGAGGGCGCCGCCTGGGCCAGCTCGGCCTGCAGGAACTGCTCCACCACCGCGCACAGCACCGTGTTCTTGTGCAGCTGCGGCCGCGTCTGATAGCCGGCGCGGCACTGCGGACACAGGTACGGCGGGCCCTGAACCGCCCACGTCTCGTCCAGGCAGGCGCTGCAGAAGTTGTGGCCGCAGGGGGTGGTGACCGGCACCTTGAAGGGCTCCAGGCAGATGGAGCACGACAGCTCCTCGGCCAGGGGGACCAGCTCCGCCATGGCGTTCCTGGGGACCGGACGGGACGCGCTGGAACTCGGCGCGCGAACGCCGAAAGACCGGCCCACACCGGCTAGGAAACGAAAGTGAGCGGCGGGAGGGGCGGGCCCCGGGGGCCTTTCAGGAAGTCACGTGGGGCGGGGGCGGGCCGCGCTGGGGTCCGGGGGCGCTGCGGGTCGCGCCGCTCGGACAAGGTCGGCCACGCTCGGAGCCCCGACGTCTCCCTCGCGTGCGCGCGGGCGCCGGACTCAGGGTCTCCGGGGGCCCCCACGGCCGGCGGAGGAGCAAACCTGCGCGACAGGGTCGCGCTGCCGCCCTGGCCCGCCCGCCGCTAGTGCCTTTCCGCGGGGAACTCACCCAGACGCCAGACGTCCCCGCTGCGCCACCAACTGCGAAGCCGCCCCTCCCCGCCCCCCTTTAAACCCTTCCTTCCTCCTGTCCCCGCCTCCCCTCCCCCGCCCCCTCGGGCTCTGGCACCGGGACGTCGAGCCCCCAAGGCCAGAGCCCGTAGGCACACACTCTGGCTTAAAGCTGGCCATTTCTTTTCATACCGATAGAATACGCTTTTTTTTTTTTTTTTAATTTCCAGTTCTACTTTAGTGGGATTTGCAGACATCCCAGTTTTAACAAAGATTCTCTGCCCCGCCCCCCGTCATACACACAATTTTGTAACAAACGTTTTTCTCAAAATCGCTTATTTAGATTTACTTCCTTTTATTCAGCTATGTTCCCCGCCCCTGACCTGGGTCTGGAAAAGCAGGTGTACCCAGGAGAGAAAAGGAGAGAAGTATTCAATAGAGGGGATGGGGGCCAAAAGAGCAAGGTAGTGCCTTGGTGGGAGTTAGCTGGAGTTTGCCCTGGAGACAGGGCGAGCAGCAAAAATGAGAAAAAGGTAAATGTCGTTAACTACTGCTAAAAGTAAAAGCTACTATTTACGGGGCATCTACTCTGTGCAAGTCATATACTTATGTCTTCTGATCCTCATAAACACTAGAAGACGAAATTTATTACATCCATTTTACAGGTGAGGGTCACATATTTTATTTATTTTATTTTTAAGTGATCTACCCGCCCAGCATGAGGCTCAAACTCAGGACCCTAAGATCAAGAGTGCAAGCTCTAGGGACTGAGGCAGACAGGCATTTCTACCCTCCTTTTTTTAAAAAATAATTTCTCTACCCAAGTTGGGGCCAGAATAGGTTACATATTTTATACAAAACAGGACTGAGCTTCTAGCTCAGGATTGCTTTGCCTAAAAATTCCTTTTTTTTTTTTATGTTTATTTATTTTTGAGAGAGGGAGAGGGAAACACAGAATCCAAAGCAGGCTCCAGGCTCTGAGCTGTCAGCACAGAGCCCAATGTGGGGCTCGAACCCATGGACTGTGAGATCATGACCTGAGCCGAAGTCGCACACTTACCGACTGAGCTACCCAGGCGCCCCATTAAAATTCTAATTCCTTTAAAAAAAATTTTTTTTTCTAATTCCTGGCTTTCCTATTTCTATTCCTCCAAAACTCTTAACCCCATCTGTTCTTTCCTATTGCATTGTTGTTTGCATGGGGAGGAGGAAGGCAGAAGGCAGGGAGGGGTCAGGAAATCAGATTTGTGCGTAGTATGTCATTTAATCCTCACACTAACTCTTTAAGATGGGTATTATCTCATGTGACAGATGAGAAAACTAAGGCTTAGAGAAACTCAATAACTTCCTTAAGACAACAGATACTGTCAAGGAGCCTATCTCATTCTAGAAGCCAAACATTTCCTACTAGAAAATGTTGCCTCCCAAGGGGAGGGATGGAGAGCCGTTTCCAGGAAATAAAGTCTATGAAATCCACTATGACTTAGCTCTTGCGGGTGAGGTGGCCTGGTGACTCAGCCAGAATGTCCGTAGAATTTTCTTTACAGGCCAAGAAGTTCAGAAGGGCTGGTTAGACAGTGAAGAGAACTAGGTGGAACATAGTTTATGTTTATCACCAATTCCATGCAGCAGATATATACTAAGACCTACTGAGACAGGGAAGCGGAAGGGCCTCCGGTTTAGAAAGGCTCCATTCACTCTTGCTCCGTGTCCCACCTTGCGTCTGGGTAAACCAGAGAAGCTCCGTTCCCAGCCCAAGGAGGAAGCGAGGAAGTCTCGTCCTAGCCCTCAAACACCTGACCCCATCTAAGAAGAATCAGATCTCAAACATGTTCCGGGACATTAGCTTCGAACAAACCCCGGCTGGCGACGCTGGCATCGGTGCCCCCTCCCTTCGATGATTTATGGAACAACACCTATTATTCACCTGACACTCGCCTTGGATGGGACCCCACCCTGGATTCCTGAAGCAACACGTTACCCTGGACCCCTTTCCAATATATGCCCCTAACCCCAAGCAACGGGGAGACTCACTTCTCCTTTTCCGAGTCTCCTAGACACTGTGTCTGCTGTACTCTGTCACGCTATTCAGTAAACAGTGTTGACTTCCTTCTTGACGAGGGAGTGTGGGCCATGCTGGAGACAAAGTACAGGCTAACAGCACCCCCTCCCAGCTGGAATGTGTGTGATGTTCCTCCGACACCCCTGGCTGCCCAAGAACAAAGGAAAGGGGTTTCAGTGCTTGCCATGGTGATGTGGGAAACTAAGGCAAATGACAAATTAAATCCTCTTACTGCCTCCAGCCCATTGATGATTCCTTGAACCCAGTGGAGTGACCTCCCTCTAGGATCTCAGCTGCCTCGATGATGACACTTCGCTAGGGGGCAAAAGAGAACCTTAGGTTAACATTATCCCAAACTCGAAGAGAGGATCTTCTAAGTCTACTTTAACATATCAAAATTCCTTTGGAAACTTCCTTTATCTCAACTCCCACAAGGTATAGGCTGGCAATCACACTCCAAGCATACGGCCCCCTGATACACATCTGAAGGGTCTTACCCGTCACGACCCCGGTGCAGCTCTTCCCGTGCAAGGGTCCCGTCCCTGTGCGTTAATAAAATTCCCTTTTTGCGGGGCGCCTGGGTGGCTTAGTCGGTTAAGCATCCGACTTTCGCTTAGGTCATGATCTCGCGGTTCGTGGGTTCGAGCCCCGCGTCGGGCTCTGTGCTGACAGCCAGCTCGGAGCCTGGAGCCTGTTTCGGAGTCTGTCACTCCCTCTCTCTCTGACCCTCCCCTGCTCACGCTGTCTCTCTCTCTCTCCTAGAAATAAATAAAACATTAAAAAAAAAAAAAAAATTCCCTTTTTGCACCAAAGACATCTTGAAGAATTCTTTCTTGACCAACAGCTCCGGACCACCCCACCATCACCCCAAAACTTCATCACTCCTGGCTCACCTTTCACTTCTATCCTTCCTGAAGCCAAAGATCCTCCTGGCTGGTCTATTGAGGACCCGCTATGGGCCCTCAGACCAGGCCTGCCTTCATCACTACTCTGCTAGACTCATCCCATTGTGCTTAGACAATATGCTTTGTATTATTTCAGGGTTTTAAAATTTATTGAGACTTGTTTTATTTCCTGAATGTGGTTTCTCTTATTGTGGGTTACTGTTTGCATGGTACCTCTTTCTCCATTTTTGTTCTTTCAAGCTATTTGTATCTTTGAATCTAAAGCATGGCTTTTGTGGACAGCGTCATTTTCTTATGCATCCTACCAACCTTTGCCTTTTAACTGGAGCATTTGATTCATTTACATTAAATTACTGATAAGGTAGGATTTACATCTGCCATTTGCTATTTATTTTTACGTCTTACATCTTTCTAGTTCTTCTGTTGCCCCATCACTGCCTTCCTTCGTGCTAAATATTTTCTGGCGTACTGTTTTTATTCCTTTGCTATTTCTTCAGATGTTCTTTCTGCCCTCCTCCTCGCCCCTGTCCTTAAGGAATTTCCCTTATGTGTGTGTTGGTCAGCTTCTGGAGGTCCTACAGGTCTCTGAGGCTCTGTTCATTTTCCTTTGTTCTTTTCCCTTCTGCCTTACAGACTGGATCATCCATCTCAATTGATCTATATATCCAGATTCACAAATTCTTTCATGTGCCTGCTCAAATCTGCAACTGAACTCCACTGGTGAATTTTTCATTTCAGTTATTGTACTTTTCAACTCCAGAATTTCCATTTGGTTCTTTACTTTTTTTAAATTTTTTAATGTTTATTTATTTTTGAGAGACAGAGAGAGACAGAGCATGAGTGGGGGACAAGCAGAGAGAAAGGGAGATACAGAATCCAAAGCAAACTCCAGGCTCTGAGCTGTCAGCACAGAGCCTGATGCGGGGCTTGATCCCATGAACTGTGAGATCATGACCTGAGCCAAAGTTGAACACTTAACCAACTGAGCCACCCAGGACCACTCCATTTGGTTCTTTAAAACAAAAATTTATTTCTTATCTCCTTACTGATTTTCTCTACTGAGAGAGATATCATTCTCTTATTTTTCTTTATCTCCTTGGACATGTTTTGCTAATGTTCTTTGAACATACTTAAAATAACTGATTGAAAGTTTTTTTGCCTAGGGGCACCTGGGTGGCGTACTCAGTTAAGCTTCATACATTCAGCTAAGGTCATGATCTCACAGTTTGTGGGCTCGAGCCCTGAGTCAGGCTCTGCACTGACAGCAAAGAGCCTGCTTGGGATTCTCTCTCTCTGTCTCTGTCTCTCTCCCTCCCTCTCTTTCTCTTTCTGGACATTTGAAGTAATACAGCATGGCACTATGGGCACTGAATTCCCCCTCCCCAGGAATTAATTCCATTGAATCTATATATTGTCATGTGTTGCTGCTAAAATCTCTGCTCAGTGGGCTTGATGATCACATAATGACTGGATAGAGATTTTCTTAACTCCCTAAAACCAGTAAGCTTTCCAGTATTTTCCGAGGGCTCAGACCTGTTTGCGGACTGCTTGATTTTTTTAAGACTACTGCAGAGCTGGGGGTCAGGGGAATGGAAATAACACAAGTAAAGACACCACAAACCTTGCTGTCCTTACCAAACTTCAGCCACTTTTTAAAAAATGTTTATTTATTTTGAGAGAGAGTGCACAGGGAAGGGGCAGAGACTGAGGGAGGGTGGGACAGAATCCTAAGCAGGCTCCGAACTGTAAGCATGGAGCCTGACATGGGGCTCAAACTCACATGAGATCATGACCTGAGCTGAAAATCTAGAGTTGGACACTTAACCAACTGAGTCACCCAGGCGCCCAGAGCCACTTTTTTTAAATAAGCATTCCCTGACTTGTTGCAAAGTTCACCGATTTCCAGAGTTCTGAAAAGTTTGATCCTGTGAATTTTTGTTAGTTTTCTGTTATGGAAGCAGAATTTTCAGAGGTTTTCTACAATATAATCATTTGTAAGAAATATCTGTTTGGTCATTCAAATGACAAAAATATATTTCTCAGATATATTTT